AAAGCAATCCAACTCGAATCGCATCTTGTTTCATTTCACTTTAAATTTTTACGAGTTTATCGTCCATATTTATTAATACAATTTTCATATTCGATCATAAAATTTTGATTTCTCCAACGTGGATGTGGCAGCGGTGTTTAAGTGTGTGTATATAGAAGATGTGTGGATGTACTATTAAATTGAAAGCCATAAAAATTAGAAACTTTCAAGCGGCAAGAAGAACACAACAACGATGTCGAAGAGTAACAACAACAACAACAACAACAACCAATACGAAGCAACAACAACAACAAATTCTAAAAAGCAACAACAACAACATAATTCTAAAAAAATCTTACAACAAATTTTTAAATAATCCAACAACAACTAAAAGCCAAAAACAACAACAACAAAAATGGAAAAAGGCCACAACAACAAAAATAAAAAATAAAAATTAAAAAAAATCTAACAACAAAATGTTAATAAATCCAACAACAGCAGCAACAACAACAAAAAATATATAGCACTTGTTGTCAAGCGTTTGGCGACTTGTTCAAGCAAATCGAAATATTCATGTTACTTGTTCTTAGAAGTATAAAAATACACACATATGTATCTAAACATATACTTGTACATTTGTGTGTGTTTGTGTTATTACTTTCCAAATGCTTTTCGCTCGTTTTCGGTTTTAATTTTCAGCTTTTCTTTTTTATGATTTCGCGCTTTAATTAAGATCTGCTCGTATAGCGCTCACTGACTGTAGCCAAAGCCACGTAGAACAATGCAGGCAACTATAAACACACACACGCACACATACATACATATGTTTATGTGAGCTCACATATGTACATATATATATCTTTCGTGTTGAAAAACAATTATATAGCCGGTTTATCGATTGCAGTATTCACTTTTTTTTAGAATTTCGGTCTTAGGTTTTTGTTCTTGTTGTTGTTTTATTTATTGTAGCCGGTTTGCTAATTGTATCTTTCTGCCGACAGCTTGTTAAATTAAACGTTTTTGGCTACTGTTAGACGCGGGTTTTGCGCCTCCGGCCACTAGTGGCTCATTTAGTTCTTAGCGCTTTTTTGCTGGCGTTTCTTCTTAACGGTATTTTAGCCTTTTGTGGCAAATTTGATATCGATTTAATATCGCTGCAGACTTAAGCGCTGCAAATTAGCGGGTTGGAAAAAAATATTTCACTTTTTAATTTCTACTCAATGTGGAATGAAGACTTCTTCTATTTGTGGTTAATTAAATTTATTGCAAGAGTTAATTATTTAATTTTAAAAATGATGCATCATCATATGAATCATAATATGAAATTACATATTGCTGTCAAAAGCGAGCTTCAAATTATTTTGAAACCAAAAAAAAATTTTTTTTTTCTTAATTTTATTTTTGAAATTATTTTTTGAATTTTTTTCGAATTTTTTTTTTATACAATATCAGTCCTTTTGAAATTCCTAAACATGACGAATGAGACTAGATGCATTCTATTTTGTGAAACAATTTTTTTATGTGCTAAATATCTGTTGATCTACACGCCGGTCATTGTTATCAGTAAGTGCTTAGCGTAGCCGAACTTTACCGCGTTGCCATTGCTCGTAATTTTGTGCCCTTGAGAGATATTTTAAAATAAATACGAACCGGATTTTATCGCCTACTTTTATGATGTTGTTGTAGCGTCAGAAAACATTCCAGAAATATTCCGGGTGCTCTCCAATTACGTAGACCCGGTTTTAGCACAGTCTTCACAGATTCTTCTGAAATCGTCACTAGAAACGGTTTTTATTGACTGTAACTCTCGTGAGCTCTAATTTATTACTGGAGATCGCTTTGCTCGGACAAGTTTTTCCACGCCGAAGTTATCAGGTCTGTCGTTTCGAAATCGTAACCGAAGATGGATTTGATACCACTTTGAGATAAGTTGAGCTGTAGCAATAATGAAGTATACAACGACCGGTTTAGGAAACTTTATGTCAACTTTTGAAGAAAGATATATTCAGAGTAAGATTCTGCTGTATTGCCGCACTTGGTAAGCCGTCGTCTACTAGTTCACGGCTTGTATAACCTCAGCCTGGATTTTGAGCTTATCTAATTTATAATGACTCTTCAATTATTTCTTCGATTACTGTTTATGTTGTTGTAGCGGTATAAAACATTTCTGAGGTAATTTGAAGCAACACTGCCGAGTTGATAATCCTTGACAGGATTAAACTCTTGGTCCGTCCCGATTACGTAGACCCGATTATCTTGGGAACGCACTCTATCTTCGGTTGAGCGCGTTGCTTTTTGCAGTTGCAAGAATTTCTGGTGTTTATTGTTCGACTTCATCAAGCATTTTTTATATTCTGTTGTTGATTTATCATATACCTACGTCCGCTACCAGGAGTTGGTATACTCTCTTTGCCTCATTTCGTAGAAGTTTTTGTATTTACATATTTACTAAAAGCATCTTATATTTCTTTCAGCATATCATGTCCAGCGCTCGATTCTTTACAGTATGTCCAATTTTATAAACACACACACTCGGGTGCGACGTTCTTAGGAGCTCCTAGACTCCGCGACTATACCTGGAAGTAATGTTTCACACCTACAACAGTCTGGGTATCTCTCAATATCACAAATTATTACCCATCCGTAGAGCTACTTCAAGAATAAAAAAATGCCTATTTCTGTCTATAAAATTGCTGACTAAACAGAAAACTATAAGCTCACTGCTAACTGAAAACACTTGATATGCACTAATTTCATGTAAATACCAACTTTAGTAGACAATTAGCTGAGGTAATTAAGGTATTAATTGAGTCGTCGTTTTGTTTTGTAAAAATTCTCACTGCACAGGGTTGCATTGGTGTTGCTATATTCATATATTGCAAATTAAATACTAATGTTTAAAAGCCAGATTGTATCATAAGCTAAGTAATTGAGGCTTAATTTGCGAAAATTTGCTTAATTGCGTAATTAGGAGTATCCATGCATATGGTTTAATCTACTCTGTTTACTTCACTACTGGCATTATTGTGTATAGTAATATTGAACTCTTCGACTGTTTGCCGCACTAATACCGAATTATTTTTAATCGGCTGCATTTGCAAATTTCTATGCACGCTTAGGTCTTCTCTATTTGTTGAGGCCCCCTGTAGCGCTTAACCGAATTTTCTGAAAACAACAAAAGTCAGTGATTCCTTTCACTGCTTCTCCATATTAAATTGAGCTATTGAAATGTACTTAATTTGCATAATTATTTATGATTGCCAAATACAACAATCAAACACACCAGCTTGCAAGCACAAAGTAAATTTATTGCACTGCGTCAATTTGGGACCTACATACATACAAACATACATATGATAAATAAGCAATCCCCTCAATATTGTCAATGTCAATTAAGTGAAATATAAACACACACGCACATGCATACATACATACATCTATATGGTTAACGGCATACATGTCTAGGGATGTAGCTAGATATAATAGCGGTAAATCCCTTACAAAATCTATACATAGCCTCATCAATAAATAAACGATTAAATGCAGCAGCAACAACAACAAAAGCCAATAATTATTGTACTTGTAAATGTATGTGTGCATCACCAATTTCTGTGTATGTATGTACTTGTTGAACAAAATGCCTGATCATGTACACTAAACCGTTATTCACTTTCCACACAACGGCAGAGTTTTCGAAGTTGCACGGATTCCAACCCAAACCTTGCTGAGCGCTTTAATTGACATAAAGCGAGAACACACAAGCACCGGCAGTTATAAACTGATATGTGTTTGTGTGCGTGCGTGATTATTATCCTTTCGATACAATTGTACAGCGGTGCATATTTTTGCAATAGAATTTTCGCATATCATTGCCATTTATTGCCGTTCGTCGACCGCATACGACCCTTTCTATGCGAGGGTTCCCACTTAGGTCACACACAGTTGTCTCGGCTCGTAGTAAGCGCTAAAGCGACTTTGTGACGTCTCACTGTCAGAGCGCTGCATGCATTGCATTTTGCTTGTGTTGTTTTTGTTGTTGTTTGTTTTTGTTTGTTGGGGTGGTTTGTTTGCGACTTTATTTATTTATATTTAATGCTTTGAAACGTGATAATGACATGCTAATTGATGTTATTGATTCGTTATTGTAAGGATAACACACAAAGTAGCCAATAAAGTTGTGTATTTGCATGAAATTAGTGAATATAAAGTGATTTCAGTTAGCAATGGCTTTACAATTTTCTGTTTAGTCAGCAATTTTATAGACTGTAATACGAGTTCTATTCGCTAGAGCTTGGTGTGCGAAGGTACTAATTATCGTAGTATTTTGAAAGTTAATAATGTATTATTTTTAGAGATTAAAGTATGATATGTATATCCTACTTGATATATGAGACCGCATATATTGTATATGTCGCATTCTGAAAAATATACTAAAGTAGTAACAGTTGTTTTTTAATCAATTGCTTCCGATCGTTCACATTGTATGGCAACTATATGCTATAGTTATCCGATCTATACAATTTCTTTGGATATTGCACTATTGCCTTAAATAATAATACATGCCAAATTTCGTGAAGATATCTCGTCAAATGAAAGAGTTTTACATACAAGCAATTCATACGGTTCGTTCATTACATTGATGTCCTATATAAGAATCCATGCCATTCGAGACAGCTGTGCCAGGCACTTGCACGAAATAATTTTGAAAGCATAATGGCAAACCCTTATCTTTATAGTAAAGCTAAATTCTTGGTATTAAATTATTATTATTAAATTATCGTATTATTTCTTCTTGAAAACCAAATGCCTAAAAAAGCACTCTTTAGGTTGACATATATCAAGTTATATTTTAGAATCGTCTTCAAAGTCACCTTACGAGATAAATGTGAATCATAATAAATCCATATTGTGCCTAAAATCCTCTTACAATTTATAATCTTTATTACAATATATCAAAATATAAATTTTAAATCAAAATTTAAAAACTACATAACTTAATATCTTTTTTTGTTATATTTCAGGCTCCAACACAAAAAATTGAGCATTATGGGTAAGTCAAATTAACAAAAAGTAAGAAAACCGGTTATCCAACTAATTAAGTTCATTGAAGAGTATACCTAAATATTACTTAGTAAAGAGAAAGCTGCACTTTTACCACCGGAATGTATCTTTAGCAGCATATCTGAATCCCTAAGATCGCAAAAGATGGCAGCGACTTTGTTGCAAAATATATTTCGTTTACTTCTGGAAACGATCGTTTTCAAAATTTTTTCTTCTAGCACCGGTTAGTTAGCTTTTTAGCAACAACGATAAATTCTTTTAAATAAATTAGTAGTTAGCATTTATTAAGACCTTTCGTTAATTTATTTTTTCTTAACTGTCCAACCGCCTAAATGATTTTTGCGGAGAGCGCAGGAGCAGGCTTAACATCTCGTCGATGGTTTCGAAACATCAAACGCAGGCAGTTTGCTATTCATGCCAGCTTTTTTCAGTGCAGTAGAGTCTGTATTTATTTGAACGCTGTTCTGTAAAATTCTGGAGAAATTTTGTGGTATAGAAGACTTTTCTATTATATATTAGTAGTATGTAATTTATGAGTAATAATAACCAGTAGAGAAGAAACTGTTCGGTAGATAGGAAACAGGGTTCTGTAAATTATTTGTTTAAGGCTCTTGAGAGAGGAGGATCTTCTAAGAAGATTGATAAAGCATAGCAAAAAGGATACATTTCGATTGAAGATAATTAGATTACAACCAAGTTGACCTCGTCACTTTCGACTGTATTTCATTTGAATTTTAACACTTTAGTACTTTGGTCATAAAGCATTTTCGTGAATACTAAATCAAACAGCTTCCGAATGTGTTAATTAGTTAAAGCTACTCATACGCAGCACTCGGTTCAAACGGTTATTGAAAGTGTTGCAAGCTTATTTTTCGGTTTCTTTTTCGTTGCTTTGTGGATCAATAAGATCAAAGCGCAAATAGTAAATAAGCTAGATCATTCTATTGTATCTAAGCTAAATTCCACACTAAGCGTTATTTAAAACTGTGAAACTGTGTATTCTTATAAAATGTACAACAAGTGTGTGGATTCTCAAATATTATTTGTTGCCAATTATAATATAATATTGTATATATTTCATACAGTAAACATATATAATTATTAAGAATAGCTGCCATTCGTCGATGGTTTTTTGGTCAGAAAGTAATGAAAAATCGTTTTTAACGCGCATTGATTTATAAATAGAATTAGAAAATATATAAAAAAAATATTATGCAAAAAAATAATATTATTAAGGACAAGTAAACAAACGTATTTATTTATATACTGCGTGTTTATATGCATTTTCGCTAAATACACACTCGCCTTGAAGCATCAATGACCTCCACTTGCCAATTTTCAATTATTTTTTCAAACATTTTTTTGCACAAATAAATATATATATAAACAGCATTCAACAAAATATACACATACACACATGTACATATGCGCATTGACATATATTTTTAGCGTAATTTCATTTCGTTTCATTACAAAAATAAATGGTGTACACTTTGTGGCACGTTTTTCACGCTTTAAAAATAATCGAAATTAATATTATTTATTTAAGAGCGCAGGCGAAGAGAAAACTTTGCAAAAAAAAATATAATAATTTGCCGTCGTTGCCAATGGCAATGCCGTCAGTGTGGTTTGCATATGCTATGCAATGATGGCGAATATCAAGTAACAGTGCGGCTTATAAGTATGTGTACCTACGTAAATTTCTACGCAGAAAACGAGTGCAACTGGATGTGAGTGTGTTTGCAGTGTGTTCGGGGCGAAAGTGACTGCCAAAATATCACGCGGCCTTCTAAATTTCTTTCTGTCATATTTATTTGAAAAAGATAGAAAATAAAACTCTTATGAAACTTGTTGCGCTTAGTCGCAGTGACAGTGTGAAGGCGATATGGCAAATTAAGCTGTAGAGGAAAATTGCCAATGAAAGTTTTGGAGCTGCGTACAAATGTCCAACCAATAAAATGTATAAAAAGCAAGTAGAATAAAACAAAAATATACATCTGTAAATATATATAATATATATATATATAACATAATTATAAATATATATCAAAGTCAATAAAATGACCATGGCTAAGTTGCCGACTTTGCTATAAAATCTAAATTTTTCGTTCGTCACTACAAACCATCTATTTTAAATTTTTATATTGGTAAAAATTCTAAAAAAAATAAAAAATAAAAGTATTTATAAAAAAAATTTTATTTTAAATATTTAACAATTTTTTTTTTAATTACTTTCATTTAAATAAATTAAAATTACTAGTTTTTATTTAATTACACCATAAAACCATTTTTTAATTTTTAAAATCTGTATAGAAAGTTTATTTATCAAAGAATAGAACATTTTATAAAAAAAAATTTTGTACACCAATTATTTCGTAAAATAAAGTACTTTTTTCGTAAAAAATTTTAAAAATCAAAAAAAAAAAATTATCAAAATATTTTACTGCAGCAATTTTTGCGCAACATTTCATTCATATAAGTGAGCTATTAAAAATTATTTAACTAAATTACTTATTAATTTCTTGCAAAAACTTTCTAGTCATCGTTTTTTTTAAGAAAAAATTTTTAACACACATTTTTACAACCACAATCGTTTTCAAAATTATTTATTTTCAAAATAGAATTTCTTTTCAAGACTTTTCTACTTTTTATAACTCAAAAAAAAGTTATAAAAAACAAATTTTCAATTTATATAAATTTTATGAAAATATTTCTGCAACAACAATACTTACTTAAAGTATCCTACTTATTTTGGAAATATTACTGCTTTTCAGATAAAAACTTTCTAAAAACATTTTTTGACTTATTTTTTTTTTATTTCTCAAAAAGATTTTAAACCTAAAATTACAAGATCATAAACACGTTTTTCTTAAGCAGTTATTGTATGGGAAGTATGTTTTTATAAATTTGAAGTGCTGAAAATATTTTTATGAAATTATTTTAAAAAAAATTATTTTATGTTTCCTAAAACACAAAATTTAAAAAAAATTTTACTTTATATTAATGTTACGCTGAATTCAAATTTTATAAATGTCTTTTTACAACAACAATAAATTTCAAAAATATTTTTTAGTTCTTTTTTTTCATTTCAATTATAAACAACTTTAACACTCTTTTATTTTTAATTTCAATTAATTTTTATAAAAGAACTTTTAAGACAACAACAGTGTTAGAATTTTTGTTTTTTTTTTATTTGAATTATTCCCAACTTGTATACTTTTGAATTCTTTTCTTTTGATTTTTTTTTACCAAACAATTTAATAATTAAAATTACGTGAATTATTTTGTAAGCGAACTTTTACAACAAAAAATATATGATTTTTTTTTTTTTAATTTTTATCAAAAAATTTCATAATCAAAATAAAATATTTTTTCTAGCAACAAAGACCTTGTAAGCTGTCTTGTTTGTTGTAATTTTGGCTTAGTTCTCGTAAACAAAAAAATATTTCTTAGTAAAAATATTTTCTAAAAAATATATTCTAAAAGATTTTATAAAATATTTATTTTAAAAATATATATATTTACAGCAAAGCAAAATTTTTCAAAACTGTTTTTGTAATATATCAAAATAAAATCCATTTTTTATTAACTTTATTTAAATAACTATTTGCTTTAAATTTTTTGGTGCCTAAACTCTAATGACTAAAAAAAATATTTTAACATAAAATATCTATTAAAAATATTTACAAAGTAAAATAAAATTGTAAAACAATGTGTTTAGCTTATATAATATTATAAAAAATATATGTATATAATATATTTATTTTTAAAAAAATTTTTAAAGTTTTGAAATTATTGAAATTTCTGTTGTTTAAGGAAAAATTATTCGAAAAGAAATGTTTACAACAAAAAAATTGCATACAAATATGTTTACCAACAACAACAATGTCTCAAAAATTTGATTTTCATGAATTTCAATTATTAAATTATATTTAACAATTTATACGCTACGTTAACTGCACAATTTAATTAAAAGCCAAATTTTATTGAAAAGAAAATATTTTTGAACATTAATGTGCACTTATTTGTACGCAAACCAGTATGACGCTTGCGGATGCGGCGCGCACACAACATGCCAATGAATAATGGCATCATTGAAATAATCTAGAAATAAATTAAAATTTTCTTCATGCTGTTGTTGTTGTTGTTGTTGGTTTTACTTCACGATTTCATTTAGGCGCAAATGTGCATTTCACACCCGCCGTAAGTGGCGCGGCCACTTGATTCTTCAGCCGCACGTCACCGCTGCATGCCACTTACACACATCACATACATAGCAGTTTATATATATATATATATATATATATATATATATGTATGTGTGTATGTATATGTGTATTGATGTGGTGGTACTTATAGTCATAAGCGGAAAATACCGAATTTATTATTGGAATAAAGTCTCAAGAAGTCAGCGTAGCGGCAAAGTGCATGCAACCAACGCATTGCGCGGACGCCTGCAGTGGCGGTTCGAACGCGTTCCACCTGCCAAAATGCCACGAATGTACTTATTTGTATATCCATATGGTCGGCCATAAGCGTTCGTCAGTCACTACACTGAATTTGTTGTTGTTGTTCTTGTTGTATTGGTTGCTCTTAGCTGAGTTTGTTGCCACCAACAGCACCTCCTAGCGTTGCTGCTGTTAATGGTACTCGTTTGAAAATTTATTTAAATTTTCAGTTTTTCAATCTAAAAATAATTGAGTCTTAAAAATAGGAAATTTAAATTAGTTCAGCCATATCATATACACATAATTTTTTGTGATTCTCCAATTTAGATTTATTCTTGTTCATACAGATTTGAGTACATACAAATACAATATTTGGCATATACTTGTAGATGAGTTCTGTGCGCACAAACACGATTTTATATTTTTTGAGTTCAACTATTGTAAATATATGACAGAAGCAATGTGTGAACATGTGTATTTGTGGCAGAAATGTACATATGTATGTTTATATATACAATATATATATGTACGCATATATATA